CTCTGTTTCTACACACACTTGTAACTGGGCACACTTGTAAGCTCAGCCTAGACAGACCTGTGGCTGTAATATACTTTTTGCCTCACTTGTACGTCAATTTAGACAAAGGCATTTGCTAAATAAATGTAAAGGTACTTTTGACCATTTTATCTGTAATAGATGTTTTGTTCCTTATTATGTTGCACAAAAAAATCCAATTTAAATGTGTGAGATGACCAAGACATCTGATAATAGTTACTTATCTGAATTGTTAGCTGTCCATTACGAGGTCATATTCCCAAAATTAATCATTGTTTCCTGTTATTGTAAAAAGTGCAGAATGTATGCTGTGATGTATGTAAGTGTGATAAGGCATTATCTTAGAAATCAATTTATTTTAACCTGAAGGGACAAGGAATGCAGATAGAATTTAAGCAAAGACAGCAGGGATGTTTGTGCATCTCTTATGATAATTAACCTGTCTGGGGATGTAGAGACGGCCAGTCAAGTTAAAGAATGTTGTCAATATATAGGAACTGTTTCATGAAGTTTCATAAAATCAACAAAACTCACAAAAGAAAATCTTCTTAAAATATTTTGTGATTATATTAGTACCAAAGCACACTTTCACAAAGCATACAAGTAAGACATCATAACTGGTGCATTACACCAAAGAGATCTTGTAACATGGGATCCATGCTTTATGATCTCGTCCATCGTAAAGATCTCCGAGGTCTTGAGTCAAATTTGAAAACAGAATATTTTAGGAAAAATGATAGAATGAATTGGTCATGGCTGAACATCAATATGCTTTTCTGCTAATTGTTAATTGAATTAAAACCTTGTAGGACACAACTAAGAAGGGTGAAGCAGCCATTCTGAAAAAAAGTGACTTCCATTGTTTTTCTGTATACGTGTCATCAAGATGTTCAGTTACTGTGCGGCTAAGCATATTTACACTTAACATTTACATTTAGCATTCTCACTACATTGACTGGCTTGCCCAAATGGGAGTTTGCTCTGTGAGTAGGTACAGGGTAGCATCTTACATGTCAACATGCGCCAAAGCAAACTGAAGAGAGCTGAGGGGCTTCTTCAGATGTGGTATGAGGGGTTTAGAACCAGATGTTCAACGCTCTTGATAATGCTAATGACCTGCATCACTAGGCTGAAATCATTGGGGCTGCTGTTTCTTCCATTCTTGGCAACATTGACTGTGTCGGATATTTTCGAAAGGGGAGGAACATTTTGCAGGTACTGGAAAACCTCTCCCAGTTGACGTCCACCGACTCTCAGCATTCTTGTATCAACTGGCTTTACCCATGCCTACTCTATTCTAGCTATCCTTTTATCTGACCATCAGAGAACAACGGGCCTGCTGGGGAACTTTTAGTGGGGGCTGTGGTGTAGAGTCGATTGAGTTTGATTTCTGGGGACCTGGGGTATAAGCCTCTGTGTCAAAGCTGTTAAAAACAGGTCTAACTTGTCTGGTTCCTGCTGTTTTCCATGAACACCCAGGTTAGCTACCTTTCCACAACCTATGGATTTTCTTAATCCCTTCCACACCTCAGTCCATTGTCAGCCAAATTTTCTATTGTTCTTTTGCATTCCCTTTTCCACTCCTTGATCTTTCACATCAGCATGCTCTGCATCTTGTGAGGAATGTTTTACTGTCCTTTCTGATCAATGGTTTAGTATTTGGGAAACTTAAACCTGTTTTCTGAATGATAATTGTATCTCCATGGAACTGTGATGCATTATAGAGCCAAAAGTATCTGGACATCAGTTTGTCAAATATCTCATTCTATAACCAAGGGTATGAAGATGGTTGTAGGACTGTCGTGAGAACCATGCGATGCTTATACTCTCCCGGCACCGGCGCAGGTAGTCCAGTCTCGTCGTCACCGGCAGCTCTGGCTAAGGTATTTCCCGGTTGGTATTTCCCGGTTGGTATTTCCCGGTCGCTGTTCCAGGTGAGGGCGTGGCGCCGGGGTAGGGCACTCGCAGGCGAAGTACTCGATCTCTCCACAGCGGTGGCAAGGGACAGCTGCTGGCGGGCAGTGTCTCTGCCATGGCTCGGTGCGGGTCACGTGCACGTGCTGTCCCTCCTCACTTCAGCCCTCGAGCGCACAGGTGCAGCTTCTGCACAGCGTGGCTGGTGACCGGCGTGAACCTGGCAGCGGGGGCAGGACTTCTGCGGCCCTCTCTGCCTCCGCCAGGGCCTTGGTGAGCTGGCACAGCTGCTCCGGTGTTCATGCCTGGATAAAGGCTTGCCAAGCCACCACTTGCTGTGCAGCGCCGGGGGAGTCCAGGTAGCCCCTCCACGTAAGGATGCGGAGGTCCACCGCAAACATCCGCAGGGTCTCATTGTCCCACCTTGGCCGGTTCGCCAGCTCCTCCAGGGCAGTGAGTTTTTGCTGCTTGTCGGGGGTTAAGCTGAGGAGAACTTGGAGCACGTCCCCCTCCAGTGCCAACACCAAGTGCACCGCCGTCTCCTTCTCGCCGTCATGCTGGAACCATCAGGTCTCCCCAGGAACGCACGCTGTTCGGTTCCGTCTGGTCTTCTGGTCCGTCTGGTACTCCCCACCACTACTCCCGGAATCCTTGCTTCAGTTGTTGGAGATCGTCATAAGACGACTGACTCCAGTCCCACTTCTGACACCAGTGTAAAAGTCAGTCACCAAGCCATGTTGTAGGTAGAAATCAGGCAGAGACGGTTCCGGGTTTAACCACTTGGTGGAATTTATTGCACCCATATCATTCGTACTAACAACACACTCACACTGCCCCCCCCCCCCCCCCCTGGGTCCAGCACCTCACTATTTTTCAAACCCTGGCTATGGCCCTGATCTTTACTGATCGAATCTCAGCAATGGCAGATCTGGCTCTTCTAGAATCCATAAGATGCAAGAAGATATTTCGGGGCTGCACAGATTTTTCTATGGAGAATGACGATTAGTTATTAATTAGTTTTCGTCTCCCAAGGCATCTCCTTCTTTAACGATGCCACATTTTGGAACCTCACTTAAGGAGAGAAACCCAACCCTGGAATGCCATACCTGTGCCAGTGCAGATCCTTTCCTCGTTTTTGGCTACTGGGATCTTTCAGTGGGAGACTGGGGATAGGTCCGGCTTATCACAGCCCACAATTAGTATAACAATGCCAGCAGTATTGGAAGCTATAAAGTTCCTTTTCAAATGAGTACATCCAATTTCCCTACAATGATGCCCAGCAAACTGTGATTAAAAGAGAATTTTATGAGATCGCTGGGTTTGCTAATGTAATTGGTGAGATTGACTTTATCCATATGCGTCTGAAGCCAGCATGTATTCATTAATCGCAAGAACTATTATTCCATAAATGTGGAATTTGGTCAGAGCGCAGAGCGGTTTTGTAATTAAGGCTGGAGCGGTCGCTCTGTCTCGCTCCAATTTCGCTCCGATACTGCTCACACTACGACTCTGAGGCGTGCCCAAATCTACCCAGAATCCATCTGTACAATTATCAAAACTGTCACACAAATTGGCCGAGATGGAATTCGTAAAGTATTTCACAAAGGAAACTGATAAATCATACAAGTGTACTATTCTTATCAAACGTATAGATGACAATAATGTACAGCAAGAACAACAATGTGGCGAAACTGTTTCAGTGAGTAAAGATTCACTTTGGAATCACTTTTCTCAGGAACATTTATGCAATAGTTAAATTTCTACTATTCACTGAAAAGCACCCTGTCCAAATGCATTAGCTCCCTTAAAACACCGCTATACAAAACATTCTGGTGCTGCTCATGAATGGAATCGAGTGTCACATTTGCCCTTTGCCTCCAATTATTTCAGACTCTCCCTGTGTAATAATTTTCAAGAAAAAACAAGTAATGTTTTATTTCTTTTTCCTGGTTTACGAAAGGTTGAAACCGCTTTAGTAAATGTGTTCATGGGCACCTGCAGTTGTACGCCTGCATGCACTTTGTGTACAATTAGCATTTAAATTTATTTGGTTTTCTGTTTGTTTGCTTCCTGTCACGCCCAGCCCCTATCACCCTCATGTGGACCATGCCTCCTCGTTAACCTCATGTGGAATCCTCCCGTTTACCTGCTGTTTCCGTTTCCTGCTGGTTACCCAATGTATTAGTCTGTGTTCTGTTCGGTATCCCGTAGATCGGTCATTGTATATGTTATCGGTCATTGTCCCCTGTCTGCCTGTTTCCCCTGGAATAAACCCCTTAGTACCTTTATCTACGCCTTCGCTCCCTTGTTTGCCTGCTCGCCGCCAGCCGACCGTGACACTTCCTTGTTATTTCTGCAGCAGAACCGTAAAAAGAGGATATTAATCTTTTTTTTTCACCCAGAAGACAGATGGCATTTTGTCCTTTATATTACCCTAAATTTATTTGAAGATCAGAAACAATTAAGAATTTATGAATCAAAAAAAATAATAATCAAGGGAATCAAGAAGGGGGCAAATACTTTGTCAGGGCACTGTAAGTATGCCACAGGGACAGGCAGGGTGTGGGGGCGTGGGGCCACTGATTTCATGCTGTAGTTACAATCGAGTCCTTTGTTCAGTAAACCACATATCGCTCCTCTCCCTCTGTACCGTCATTGAATGATCTACTTACTGCTGTGCTGAACAGTAAATGTAGGTGAATTGTCACTCACATACTTTTATATCATTTTTTTAACATACTTTTAATGAACCATACTGTAGCTCCCCTCTGCAGTGTTTCTGGACCCAGGTATGTCAGCTCCATGGTAACCATGGCGCCGTGCAGCAGGACGAGGCGATCAGCACCATGCAGTCTGGCAGTGCCTGTGGTTCCCTCACCTCCAGCCCAAAGAAGTGCTAAGATGACTATTACTAACATCGGGGGGGGGACAGTCTCCCTGGCAGGCTTAAGCCCTAGGCTGAGAAGATGCCGACAGAGGAGACAGAGGGGAGCCAGGTGTGTGTCGGCACTTTCATGTTTCAGGTCGTTCTTCTTATTCATACACACATATGAAAGAAGGATTCCAGATGATTGGTAAATTATTTTATTTGTTAGGTCTAATGTTCCCTGTATATTAAACATATATGTATGTGATTATTCTTTGCATAAACTTTCTCACATTTCACAGGTTTATATTGTTGCTAATGTTTATTTCACGTTTAGTGAAAAACAAAAATAAAGGAAAAGGTGATTAAATACAGTGTCATAATTTGAATGTTGATATAATGTGATAAATCTGTCAATATACAGTGATAGGAGGGTGTCATATATGAAAAAGATCTCAAGAATATACATGCAATTAAAATTGTAAATTGACATGATGCGAATTAAAAAATCATTATAAATAATGACTTTTTTCTTTTTAACTAAAATTTTCTAAGAATAGGTTCATCAGTATTGACGAATGCTTCATAAGAACCCTGACTTGCTGTAGCACTGGAAACATTGTACATATCTGAAAAATAAAGAACATTTTACTTCACATTGCAAATTACACAGATTAAAATTTACTTATGGCACCAACATAACAAATATGCCATCCACTAGAAACCACTCAAACTGTGTGATTTTCTTTTATTAGACAATGGTGTAAACTGGAAATAAGAAGGGATATCTTTCATATCATTATCATACAGACACAAATCATCCCAATCAGTACTTGGGGTTAATCTCAGTAAAATGAATAAATAAATTATTAAAATGTAGCGATTTAACTTACTCTTTCCCCTTCGCCTAATACGGTCAGGCAAAGATGAAGATGGACCAGTATTTGTGCTCTGTTAGACAGAACATACCACACATCATTTATCCTACCTCTGATACTTGAAATTGTAAATTTTGTCACATTAATTTACAGTAATCCAATTTCAAAATCAAAGGTAATAGAGCACTTTGTCCTCCAGCCATATGAAGTGAGTATAGAATTAATAAAAATGTGATTTTGCGTATCTAAGAAACACTTAGAATGGGAAAAGTGAACATTACACTCGAAATGCAATGATGGTGTTACCTTTGTTCGGGCAGACAGCAAAGGCAAAAATGAAAATCTTCCAACAATAGCTGATCGAATCTGTCCATAAAGAAAAGGGCTCTATCATGTGCGTGTCATACATGCCAATGTATAATAAAGCTCAAATTTCCAATAGTATTCCAAATACAGAAATGTAAGTACTTACTCTGCTGTCTATAAGTGTCCCAAACACTAAAATGAAGCAGCCCTTAAAATAAGTTTTAAAAAGAATTATTAGTACTTACAGGATGCATATGAAAGAAAGATACATTTATATTAATATTTCAGTGAATGAGTGCTATACTTTTAATTTAAAATATATTTTAAAAGTAAGTTCTGGTATTCTAATAACATAATAATATCACTATAACTCCGGTTCGTTTTTGCAGATTTTTGGAAAGTTAACACCATTTAAATTCAAATTTAATGTTAGAAAACAATAATAGCAGGTATTAATATTTCCACATACCTGAAAGGCGTTGAAGATTGTAAATACAATCTGGATTCCAATATTTGTAGGTTCCACCATGGTCCCTATGCCAAATCCCCAGGTGATGCCAAAGATGGGAGTCAAAACAGCGACACACCTTGCGATGACCACCAGAGCATTCTTCTCCTCAGACTGACGGTTCTCACCAACACCCCTCATCAGTAGTTTAACCAGAATCACAATTAGAATGAGCAGGTTCACAGCGACGATGGTCAAGGCCGGAATCACAAATGCCAGGAGGGCCTTAGTCTGGTCCCAGTTCAACCAACATGCATCATCTTGCCTGAAGTAGCCATGTTTGGGGGCAGTGACTGCAATGGTGATTATGGCAATGATGAGTGGTGCCCCGTAGCCCACTGAGAAGGCAATGGCCATCATAGTGCGCTTTGACATGTGGGAGAAAACCATCATGGTACGGTAGAAGAGGAAGAGAGCTGAGATCAGCATCCAGAAAAACAAGGCAAGGTAAAAGAAGTGAATGAAGAAGGTTGCAGCACTGCATGCTTTCTCCGGTGTGCTATGGCCAACGTCTGACACTGCTGCTCCAATGATGAACCATATGTCAGCAATCAGCAGAGACAGAGCAATGTTCACTATAGCGACGTGTCGCATGTGTGACGTGCTGTTCTTAGTGACAATGTTCCATACAAATGCTTCAATTATAAGGCATAAGACCAGGCATCCCATTGATATGCCGACTCCAATGTACGTGATGTAATTCAGAAAAGGGGAGTTTGGTACTAAAGGTGACATTAATATCGAAAAGGAAGTCAGGTGGTTACAGGAACAGGTGACGCTGTCATTCGTTTCAGAACCCAGTTGACATCCAGTAGGGTCCCAGCCTCCAGTGCCATTAAAAACTGTGAAATTCCAAAACACACACTGGTTGATTCCCTTTGATTTGTTTGTTTTATCAAATGTCATTGAAACGTTATTAATGGTTTGATTTACATAAACCAACATGACGATTCCATTGATGGAGTTATTCATACTGCTTCCAGTGGTCCGGTTAGGTAAGACAATATCAAGAGTCGTAAAGACGATAACTGTGATAGCCGTGTTGATGGGAAGACCTTGACTTTGAATGAATATCTGAGATGAGTTCAAGTTTTCATTGAAAGAGCTTGTTAATGTTGTTTTGTTTAACTGAATGTTTGGTTTAGTTATATTAACAGGATCACTTGAAAGGCTCTTCGTAAAGTTTTCTACTGACTCTAGAAGAAGAGAGCTTGTATCTGTGTTATTCCCGTTCAATTGACTCCATGAGTTTTTCGTGTCAGGTGACACTAAAACTGATACTGTCTCCAAAATATCCTGCAAAGAGTAAAGAAATATAATGATTATTACATCATATGAAATCAAAATTTATGATTCTAAAGAAGATTTGGAAAGAAACAAATCTAAAATTAGGCACTGTTTTAAATGTAATTTTTATTGTGTGTTAATATTGTGCTCTTAGCATTTAGGACATTGAACTGCTGTTTTCCTGAAAAGTCCTTTTGTTTGTCTGAAATATAAACAGTATATTTAATCAATCGAAATGTAATTTGTATTAAAGAAATGTAAATTCATAAAAACTGTACACCGTAGAGCACAATTTTTAAGTAATGTGTTATTGAAGTGATAATTGTCTTGAATTGTCTCTAATTCATTGCAAATCAGAACAGTCCAACTCCTTCTGTCAGAAACACAGGCATTTCAACATACTTCCATCATACTTGTGCTTGTATTTCCTGAAACATCTGCTACGTTGTTGAGTATGGTCACAATGGTGGAAATTGTAGCCGGTGACCCTTCTATGTCTGTTTTAAAATAAGTAGTGGTTGTGGTAAGGTCTTTCACAAACAATGGTACGGAATTTAAACCCATTTCAGTTAAATTCTGTAGACAGAGAAATAAGTAAAAAAAAAAAATGAACAGAAGAATTTTAGACAGGACAACCTTTCTCAAACAAATATCCATATCAAGTAGCAATACTATAGAGTCATTTCCTATTTACTGAGTGTGTACAAATAGGATGATTTATAGAAAACAACACTGACTCATACATTGTTAGCAATGAGCACATTGGGATTTTCTGTAATTTAAATTTGGCATTGTAAATAACCATGACATTTTAACTGATATAAATTTATATCATACTTTCAGTGACATAATGTGGAACCAAGTTGTCCGACAATATAGCAAAATAGTAGAATTCTAGACAAAATATCTAGAAAAAGTTTCCTTGTTATGTAATCTATGATGTAAACCTAATCTATATGAATGAAACAGTGATTGAGTGTACAGTCCTGTGTGTGGAGTCTGCATGTTCTCCTTATCACTTTATCTTGCGTGATGTGTGGAAACATATTGTAGTTCTTCAGAATGACACAATTTATACATAATCAGTATATAACCACACTGAGTGAGCAGTACAAGGGGGTGGATGGATGATTAGTATTCAAAGGTGCTACCTGAGAAAACAGCAATAGTGTCATTATTGGGCTGAAGACACAGTTGTCCTCCTGAATGCTCCAATTTGGCTTTGCACAAACTACAGTCAGGTTGCCCGTAAAATTAGCTGCGCAGCCAACAATTGACGTACTTCCATTCTTACCGACACCATATGTTGTGTCAATACAATCAGGAACTGGAATAAATAAATGTGAAATTGGATTAATGCTTTAAGCTGCTATGAAGATCAAACACATGCTTCCACTGCAATTAGATAATGTGTGAGAATATTCCTTTGCTGATTTTTAATGAATGGAAAAAGTAAGGAAATGTAATTCTTAATAGGGCTGGCTGTTTTGTAATACATAAGAACGTCAAACCTCCATAGAAAAACGAGACATTTGCTTCCTGTTGAGCTGTAACGATGCTTCCAAGTTTTGCTTGGCATTTGAATGTTTTTGTTATGTTACATTGTGCAGGAACAGAAGCATTGGCGCATATCTCAGTCATTGTCCCACTTGGTTCTGAAAAATACAAAATATCACAAATGAACAATTGTCAAAAAAAATTTTAGACAGCTACAATATTCAAGACAATATACATTTTTTTCACATTGTTTATTTCATTTACATTACTGTCAAAGTAATTTCAGTTTTACATTAATTTAACAGTTAATTAAATGGTATATTAAAACCTATATGAATTCAATGTTTACAAAGTACACCAAAGTAATGAAACTTGACACATTACAATAAACAAGTAAATATGAATAAAAAGAAATTACCATTACGACTATTTACAATTATTCCTGTAGATTTGTCCACCCATTCTATTATAATTGCACTGATGTCGTAGTATGTAACGCAGCACCCCAGTGAGACATCTTTCTTGCCACATTGGACATTAATGGATGACTGGTTCAGCTGGATTATGGGAGGAATGACCTTCACTGAAATCGTTTCCTCATGGGTGAAATTCAAGAAATAATTCGTCAAGGTAAAGTTGTACAACCCTTGGTTTTAGGAAGAAAGATATTAGCATTCATTAATTTTAAAATATATTGACATTTTTCTCAATATAAAAAAGGTTGACAGACAGGAAAAAGCATACACACTCATACTGACAAATTATATTGTTCTGTTTTTTTCTGCTGTATGGCAATAATTATTTAGCAAGAAAGTGTTCTTTTATCAGGCAAACATTTCCTTACAAACAGCAAATATAATTACGTAATAGTAGCCATAACATAAAAAGCAAAGTGTAACATTGCTGTTTACACTAGACCTCCTCTGGGAAACTAACTCCGACGCTGCAGTTATAACTGCATCCTCCTGTCAGAAAGCCATTTATTACCATCACACCATTTTCTTAACATTTCATAATCAGCTTATTCATGGTGCCCTGACCAGTACATGCAGTGGGAAGATAAATAGAAGAGGATTCTACCTACCATTGTCAGCAATACTCATGTCCTTAACAGTTAGTTTGGGAGGAGAATTGGTGATTGTGTATTTTGCATTATTTGACACTGGCACACCGTTCACAAACCACGACCCATTTCCTGTTTGCAGTGATTCTGGAACCTCACATGTCAACTCAATGGTGTAACCAGGATATATCATTTCAAAGTTCTTTGTAAAAGGCACCTTTGCTTAAAGGAGCAAGACGTAAAAAGACTTATAGACACAGATAAATTTAATATACCATCACAAGAACAAGTTCATTTAGTCTTGAATTAAGTCTTGAATTTTTTTTTGCACCCGTCAATCCTAAAACTAAATATGGAACTTAGAAAAATTTCAGACTCATGTCTGACAATAAAGTATATCATCATAACATAAAATGACAATCGGGATCTCCTCCTGTACTGCACAACTTCACAAACAGTAAAACAATATGTACTTTTAAAATAATTAAATATATGCTGCATTATCTTAGACAATTCATACAAAGGAAGGCAGAGGAGACTCCTGATCTTGCACATAGTAAAAGTACACTATTCCTATAGTTGAAAATATAAAGCAATTGTAACTTCAGTGAATGAATGAAGCAGATCATCCCAGCTTACGAATCAGATTCATGAAATTTTTACATTGTTGGAAATATATCATTAAAATTGTTATTGATTAAATATTGTTATTTTGCACATTATATAGTTATAATCATTTCCAGTTTTTCACATTAAGGTATAACTAATACCTGGATCCAGGCTGCTCATTCCTGCTACTGGAGATCTTCCTCTCTGCAGAGCTTAGGCCAGTGGTTCTTAACCCAGTCCTCGGCGAACCCCAGACGGTCCACGTTTTTGCTTCCTCTCAGCTCCCAGCGCACCTGTAGCAGGCATTCAGTGATCCTGATTGGGTCACCGAATGCCTGCTACAGGTGCGCTGGGAGCTGGGAGGGAGCAAAAACGTGGACCGTCTGGGGTTCGCCGAGGACTGGGTTAAGAACCACTGGCTTAAGAACCACTGGCTTAGGCACAGTGCTAATGAAACACACCTGATACAGATAATCAGGCCCTTCTGTAGCATCTCAGTAATAAAGTCAGCTATGTTGAAGCTAAGCTGGCTCTAATACTGAGATCCTACTGAAGGGCCTGATTATCTGTATCAGGTGTGTTAAATTAGGGCAGTGCCTAAACTCTGCAGGGTGGCAGATCTCCAGGAGCAGGGTTGGGCAGCCCTGACCTAGATCACCACCATTAGTTATGGGAAACGAGTGACTAAGGCTTGTAGATAATTCTTCACCTTAGTCCTCATGGTTGTGATTTCTGCAAGTGCACATCAGATAAATTCTGTATATCAGTTTGCAGGGAGAAACACATTAGTGCCTGTGATTTTCATCATACCATAAATAACTCCATTGAAGGAACGTGGATCAGTTTTGTAACCCTGGCCCAGAAGATCGGCTGCAATTTTACTGCCCAGTGTCGCAATCTCAGTGGAATTCACACTGCCATTTGTCGCCATTGCAAAGTCTGTAATCACACTGCCATTCCTGACAACCACAATACAGAAATACAATATAAATTAGAGAAATAATGAGTAATGTGTTCTGGGATGAAAAAAAAATGTACTGTATATGCAAAAGCGCATTCAAATAAATCAATTGCTACTACAATATTTTCATTACTACACCATCACCACTACTACTACTACTACTACACTATTACTACTACACCCCACTACCACTACAGTACTTTGTTTAAAAGAGAAAATTTACCTGAATTGAAGGACTTCAATTTGAACAAATTTATGTTGGTAATTTGAAATGAGCTGGGTAAAACATTAATGTTCATGTTAATCCAAATGCATACACAAATGCACTTGGGGTGTTTCAATGCCAAATTAGCCAACAGTAATTTGTACTGAACAAATAACAAATATTGTTCTAGAAGTACAGCGAAGAAGAGTAATACATAGAAACTTACACTTTTGATTTAAAGGGAAAAAATAAAAATGTATTATTTGATATTACAAGTCATTGAAAAGAAATAGTTTAGAATTATTTGGATTTATTTTGTTGGAGAATGAACACTTACGACTGTTTCAATGTTCTTTTTAAATGTTTTGAAGAATGACGTTGACTGATCGGTTAATTTTTCATCAAAGGGTTGTAGAATTTTAAATGACATCTTCAACATATAATCTTTAGAATAAAGAATGAAAGAAATACAAATGGAATGAAAATTTATTTGGATGAAAAGAATCAATAAATCATATATAAAATTAATAAATAAAAGATGCAAAAGCAGAACTACAAAAACAATGCAATGTAAGGATTTGCTAATTCTGGTGTCCTTCCATAACTATGATTTCTGACTAAAGGATTTCATTATACCATTATGCACCAATAGAGCCATTTAAATAATTGTTGTTCTTCTTCTTTCTCATACATATATGGAATATTACAAAATATGTTTCTTCCAGATTATTTTTCATGAATTGTCATTGGTATGTGATATTGCAGGGGTGCAGAGGCTGGTATGGGGGCACTGAGGGAAGCACATTTGCCTCACTCTTCGATTGACACCTCCTGCTCTTCTTTCAGAATTTGCATTATCTCCCCAAAGTTCGGATGGGAATTGCACATAATAAATAAAGATACATCTATTGTTTTCATTTGCTGGTTTGTGTGTGTGTGGGGGGGGGGGAGTTGCTGTGGGACAAATTACAGAACACAATAAAAAAGAAATTCTGCAAAATTAAACATTGATGCCTCTTAAATATACTGACTAATAAGTGACCATGCATAATGCTATAGATTTCTGAAATATAATGACACAGACTTATTGGGGAATCCATGAGAGATTATGGTACGTACTGAGTGTTGTGACTGGAGCAAGAGTGAGAGCGGGTCCTTTAGTGGTAGAAGCTAAAGGCAAATGACAAATGGGTAATTAGCCAAGACAAAATTCTAGGCAGTTTACACGCGCACAAAGATCAGAGACATTTCAGGCAGTATGTAGAAACACAAACTAAATTAAACATCAGCTTAGGTGAGAATGCTCTCAAATTCTGCATATACAATCCTACAGACTTCTGAAATACAATGAATCAGACTGAATGGAATTTATGAGCGCATGTCATGAAAAATGGTAAATAACAGGTGTTGTGTCTGGAGCTGATCTGAGTAGATTTGTGAGAGAAACTACAAATGACAAATGGATCATTAGCTGAGAAGGAGCGGTATGAAGTTTGAATGCTCACTACGGGAACACAAAAAGTCAGGTCAGCAAAGAATTTCCTCATGTATTGACTGCTGAATATTTTACATTATACCATAATAAAAACAATGGAAGAAACTATGTGCTTCATTGGATGGTTGTGTTGTAGGACAACATACAGAATAAAAAGCAGTTTCAAAGAGAAACAAAGTCA